AGAAGAAGAAGAAGAAGAAGAAGAAGAAGAAGAAGAAGAAGAAGAAGAAGAAGAAGAAGAAGAAGAAGACAACGACAACTGGCAGAGTAGAAGGAGGGGAGGGACAGCCATGTTCACGGGTACTAAAGTGTCAGAAGTCCAGCCTGGCTGGGTGTGGTGGTGTGTGCCTGTCATTTCAGCACTCGGGAGGATAAGGCAGGAGGACTGCAAGCTCAATGCCAGTCTGGGTTACATTGCAAGTTTGAAGCTAGTCTGGAACATGGCAAGACCCTGTCTCAAAAAGAAAAAAGAGGGGCTGGGGAGATGGCTCAGTAGAATAAGCGCTTCCCTGGCAAGCGCAAGGGTCTGAGTTCAATCCCCGGTTCCACAAAAAGAAAAAAAAAAAAAAAAAGAAAGAAAGAAAGAAAGAAAGAAAGAAAGAAAGAAAGAAAGAAAAAGAAAGAAAAGGAAGGGAGGGAAGGAGGAAGAGTGGGCCTGCAAGCCCATGAAGGCAACAATGGAGTGCCCAAGGCGAGGGAAGCGACGCTGAGAAGGCCAACGTGATCATGTCACAGAAGGTCTTGCATGGCTCAGCAAGGAGGTCAAAAAGTGAGCCTGGAAAGTGATGGAGAACCTCTTCATGATTTAAAGCAGAGGAATAAGAAGATTTATAAAAGTCCTAAACCTCTGATTCTAAGCTCCTAGAAATCAGGGACATGCAGGTCACTTCTCTGTCCCCTCTTCCAGTGCCTACATAGCTCTGTGCCTCAGTTTCCCCAACTATGAAATACTTTCAATTCACGCTTGATAATTTTCTATGATTCTGGCCACGGGTTTCAAAAAAGAAATGATTTTAGAGAATGACTTTTTTCTTCACACACAAAAAGCCAGGACAAGATCTATTCCCAAGGGCGTGCGGGTCAGGCAAGTTGGGGTGCAAGCCAAGGTCCTGATGAGGCTGTCACTCTCTGCCCGAGAGCTGGGAGGTATTCAGCCTTAGAGGACCCAATGGGGGCTCAAGCTTGATTTTTCTCTGAATTAGCCCCATTACAGCTCTATAATTATCAACAAGCAGGTGACAACTCTCAAAGGCCCATTAGTGACCAGCCCTCATTATTCTTCCCAAGATGTAAACCTCAGTGGGGCAGGTGACCCAGTGACTCCAAGGGCAGAGGCTCGGGCTGGCCGTGGCTACCAGGAGAATTACCTCCCCCACACCTAGCGCAGCCCAGACTCCCTCTCCACCGCCAACTCAGAAGCAGGGAGGCCCCTCTCCCACAACAGGCGCTCTGCTTTTTTTCTTTTTTCATGGTTACAGCTTCTAAGATTTTGGTTAAACAAAGTGGCAAACAGTAACTTGTAGGAAGCCACTAGGCTTTAAAGCAGAAAGTCTTCTGGCTCTCCAGGGCCCTCCTGCCAAGTCACCTCTCTTCTGAGTGTCCTTCCTCCAGAGGGGAAGGGAACTCTGGACATTTGCTCCCCAAGAAACCCCCAAGCCCTACAAGTCTGAGAATTGAGGCAACACTCCCACTTGGAAATGAGTATTTCTCACTCATCTTCCTGGGGTGCTCAGAGACATTCAGTGGCTCACCCAGCCTGGCCACTCTTTCCCAGAAAGCAAGCAGGTATGTGCTTCACCGGAAGCATGTGAGCTTCCTAGACTGAGCGTGCCAGGGGCCCTCCAGAGCTGCTTCCCCTCTGCCCGTCCCTGCCCTGGCCTTCCCTGGGACTTGGAGTGTGTGTTCTTGCATGTACCGTCACCCCAAACCCTGCCCCTTGGTAAGCAACCAGAGAGTACATGGGTTTGAATGGCACCACTGTGTGGGTTGAGCACCTGCTCCTGATGGCCTCAGGGATGTGGCCATGGCAGGGTCCCTGCTCTCAGAGGCTAAGGTCACAGCAGAGCAGGCAGGTCTCAGCTGAATGGCAACCGCACAAACTGTCCCTCAACTGCGCAAGCAGCAGATTTGAACAATGTCATTACAAAAGCTGGGTGAGTTTGCTGGGTACAGTGGGGCACCCCAGTAATGCTAGCACTTGAGGCAGGAGCATCACACACACACGCACGCACGTGCGCACAGGGCTGGGTGAGTCCTGGGGCTGCGGTTGTGGCTACAGGAATGGTGCCCTGTGCTTCCCCTGGGCCCCTGCACAGCTGGGGTAAGGGCAGCAAAAGGCCAGGTGCAGTCAGCCCCGGAGCACACACTGTCCACTCAGGCACAGTCCCTTAGGCTCCCTCCAGACCAATCGCCTCTGCCTTTGGACACAGCTAACAAGTGTCACTGTCACACATGGCTTCATGGAAGAAACGACTGCAGGCTAGAATTGCAGCTGGGCTGCCAAAGGCAGCTACTCTAACAGGGACTTCAGCTGATGGCAAGGGAGGGGCCGAGGGAGGGCACCTGCAGAGGGGTCGCCTCTCACCTTCTCCCATGTCCGAGCTGTGGTTGTGACTTGCACGAGAATCATCACAGTTGTAGAAATGACTCAGGTTGTTCGGGAGACCTTATTTGTATATTCTGTTCACAAGGCAGGGAGAGGTGTGATCCGGTTTCGAATAGATTTCTTCCAGCATGGGTCTCTGAGGGGCCGGCACAGTAATCTAGAAACATCACAGAAATGGCTCTGTTCCTCCTTTAAGTATCTACTAGGCACTTGCTATACCCCAGCTGCTATGTGCTGTGAGGTGGATACTACTGCTGTCTCCAGTTTGCGCATGAGGAAGCTGAGGCACAAAGTGTTTAGATAAACTGTCAGAGTTCATATAGTAGAAAGTGCTGAGCAGGGAAGCTGGGCATGGTCGCACTCACCTGTGACCCCAGGAGGCTGAGGCAGGAAGATTGCCATGACTGAGGCCAGCCTCAAGACAGAGAGAGAGAGAGAGAGAGAGAGAGAGAGAGAGAGAGACATCAGAGAGAGGGAGGAGAGAGACAAGCAGGGACTCAAACCTGGGGAGTTCCACGTCAGGTGTTACCCCTGTGTGCTGCACCCTGGTAGGACCTGGGGAACAAGACAAATATGGTTCTCAGTCATCTCAGAAAAAAGGGCAGCTCCACCCACCTAGTTTCTCTGGCCCCTTAGTTGGCCCTTTTCCCTGCAGACCTGAGAAACTTTGTCGAGCCTTGGCCACTGCACTGACCCCGGGCTTTGCAGACTTTGCGAAGCACCAGAGGAAGTACATTTCAGCTTTGCAGGCCACCCGGTCTGTGCAGCGCCGCAGAAAGAGGCCGTGGATAAGAAGCGCATGCTGGCCTTGCTCAGAGCTGTCCTCCAAGCTCCACCCCCAGTTGGTGTGTCCTCTCCCCAGCCCTTCTGTGTCACGGCCAACTCCTGCCAATCCTCCACCTCTCTGGTGGCCCCAGTGCAGTGAGTCCAGGCATCCCTCCCTGGGCCGCCACAGCTCATGGGTCCCCCAACTGTGGTAACAAGTTCTTTGTGTCTGTCCTCCAGAAAATCATGTTTTCCTCGGGGGCAGGGATGTGCCGTGTGTATATCCTCATCTCAAGGGTAGCAGACTGTAAACACTTGGTGAACAAAGAATGAATGAATGAATGGGTGGGTGGGTGGGTGGGTGGGCGGACGAATGAATGGGGCATCTATTGACCAGCCAGGCAGCTTGGGAGCAAGATCAGGGCCTCTGAGCACCCAGGAATGGTGCCGTGCTGCCCACGGCCATGCTGCATCTTCTCCCAGCGCTGCTCCTCCCCCTTCCTGCTGGGGCCCGCGCGGGCATGGAAGGCCACAGCTGCTGCGTGTGATGGCCTCTAAGGGTGGCAGCTGCACCCTCTGCCTAGCCCTTGGGAAATCACTGCTGCCTCTGACAGACTTGAGGGCAGCAGCATGAGAACCCAGCTGGGCCTTTGCACCCTGCCCAGGGTCCCCAAGGGAGCGGAGGGACCAGAGAGCCATAGTCCCATGTGCTACCCAAAGGTCAGGTAAGTGAAGAAGCCTCTCAGGCCACCCTGGGCCTGCAGCTTCTCAAAGTCCCATCTCCTCTGCCTTGCCACACAGTTCTTGTGACACTTCACAGGTTGGGGAAACTGAGGCACAGAGCCCAAGCTGGCAGCTGCACATGGGGGAAAGGTGCCCACTTATGTGGGTATCTCACTGGGCCAGGCCCAGGCAGCACAGCACAGGGATTAGGGCGGACCACCTGATGGGACTTTGTTGCTACTTAGAGAGAGGGGCAGGAGGGGTCCTGCCTCACTGCTTTGAGCCTCAGTCCTGTCTCTGGAAAATGAGAAGAATATGTCAGCTCCCAGGGTTGGGTGGCTGGGAGGATGGGTGACACAATTGGCATACTGCTGGTGCTCAGTTAGTGGCTGTCACCCGGGATTCTGTGACATTCTTTAATTCCTGCCTATTTTTGGAAAAAAAAAATTAGTGATATGCCTTTATACTTTGACCTGTTGCCTAGAAGGAAATGGTTTTATTGTTAATGTATGCAGACTTCAAATCTTTCCTTTGTAAAACTTGATTCATTTTGTTTTGTTTTCTAGCACTGGGAATTGAACCCAGGGCCTTCATCCTGAACTACATCCTCAGTCCCACCTCTCCTTTTTTTTCTTTAAATTTTGGGACAGGATTTCACTCAATTGCCCAAACTGGGCTCTAACTTGCAGTCCTCCTGCCTCAGCCTCCCGGAATGCTGGGATTACAGATATGCTCTACCTCAAGCAGCCAAAGTATATTTTTGTTTTGTTTGCAGCTCTGGGGATCAAACCCAGGACCTTGCATGCCCTAGGCAAGTGCTATACCATGCACCCACACCTCAGCCTCACATATCTCTTTATTCCTGGACTTTCCTCTCTGGGCAGGAGGTGGTGGTATCCTCCTCATAGTGAATGTGGGTGTATGTGTGCCTGTGTCCGGAGTGAGCCTCAGGGTGCCTGTCACAGCCCCGAGAATCCGTGCCGCTTCTCAGTCTCAATATGGAAATGATCTGGATAATTTTAAAATGCTATTAGTGGTATCCTCAGATGGTTATGCTAAGCTTTGCTGTTAGAGTAATACTTGGGTTGCTTTAACTAGTTTCAGCCGTTTAAAAGTGAAAATGATCGTGCTTTTCAGTTTGCCTGGCAGCCCTAAAGCTTGCTGACAGCTCGTGTCCACAGGGGTGGCAAGCGCCATGCAAGGGGTGCAGGCCTGGGAGGTTAATTTGTGTAAACCACTGACACCCTGTGAAATCAGAGATGCTGCTTTTCTGCCCACATTTCATGAAGATTTTGCATATTCAAATATTCTGAAAAAGATTATGAAGAAAAAAAAATTAAAAAAAAAAGATTATGAAGAATATCTTCATCCTGTGCCTATTTTTCCAAATTAATCTTTTGAATCTTGAACAAAACAAAACAAAACAAAACAAAAAAATAGTATGGCTCCTCAAGCCCCAAAGGGGAGAGGACACCTCTTGGGGATGCAGCCCCAGCGTGGCCCGTGCACTCTCTGTCCACAGCTGCCCTGGGAACCCTGGACTTCAGCCTGCTGTACGACCAGGAGAACAACGCCCTGCACTGCACCATCAGCAAGGCCAAGGTAGGCCTGCACCCCCACTGGCCCCAGACAGAGGGGAAGAGCTGCGTGGGGCCCATCCTCCCCGCCTTCCTTCCCCTGGTGTCTGCTGTGTGGGGTGCAGCACAAGCAGGGAGCTCTTGCTAAGCTATCTCAGCCGTCTGCTCTCCAGAAAAGCTCAGTAGAACAGTCTTTAGGGGAGAAAGCCCTGGCTGGGCTCCTAGGGGGCAGGGGTGGTCAAGGATAGGAAGAGTTAAAGGGGTTCTGTCTTGCAGGTGAGGGAGGGCGCAAGAGGGCGCTGATGGCTGGAGTCTCCCCACCCCATGTCCCCATCCCCTGTGCTTCTAGGCTCCCTGAGTGGGCACAAGTGTGCTGTGTTAATGGTACAAGAGCCACATAAGAAGGCTGACACTCTCAGCAGATTAGCCTCTGGGCCTGACCTCAGAAGGTCTCTGAGCCTTGCTCTGCAGGGCTGAGGGTGCCTACGCACCTCACAGTGGTCCAGCCAGGTCCCCACAGTGGCCCAGCCAGGTCCCCAGGGTGCCCCGAGTCTCGGCCCGCATGTCCACTGTGTTCTCACCCTTGATGTTGCCTTGCCCCCACCATAATGGCTCCCTCTGGGAGGAAGGTGCCAAAGCTGATGTTCTCTCGCAAGGTAAGGGCCCTCGTGGCCAGTAGACCCCTGTAGGACTGTGTATGGGCCTGGGCCAGCCCAGCTCAGATGGAGGGGCTTCCTACGGAGCTGCCTGGGCCCAGACCCCACCCCAACACCCCAACCTGCTGCTGCCTCCTGCCCCCACCTTGTGGCTCTGCACCCACACCAAGAGATAGGCTGCCAAGGTGCCCCCAGCCTGGGCCAGCCCACACAGACTGCCATGGGCAGGGTGAGTGCAGTCCAGGCTAGGCCCAGGTTGGCACCTCGAGGCTACTCTCTCCACCCCACCCTGCCCACACCCACCATGAGACAGAGCTGAGCACCTGGTGACCCCCCAGCCTCACCAGGGGGAAGGCCAGACTCTTCTCCTCTCCCTCAGCCAGCTTTATCAAGCTTGCCCAGGCTTGGGCAGTCATGTGCCAGGCCATCAGTGCCAGAGCCGCTTTTCCTTTCCATGCACCAAAACTTCTCCCTTCCTTCCCTGCCATCCCCAGATGCCCTGTGCATACTTGTATGTGCAGCCCCATTACACAGCTCCTTGTTCCCTCTCCCTTGGACCCTGCCCACTACCCTCTCACCCTCCCAGAGGCCTGTTGAAGGTCCTGCCCTCCCCTGAGTGGCTGAGGCCACAGAGCCTGCCTGGGGGACCCAGGAGTCAGTGGTAGCAAAGAGACATGGCCTCTGGCAGTGCCCACTCAGCCTTTCCACTCCAAGCCAAGTGTGGCTGGGTGTACACAGGGATCTGCTGGCTGGGAAGGTACAGAAGTGGCAATGACAGTTCGAAGCATGGAGCAGGCCACAGTCCCACCCTAGCCTGGCAGCCACCCCTGCCTCACCTCACAGATGTCCCAAATCTACAGAGCCACCAGATTTCCCAGCATGCTCTGTACTTGGTGCTGGGCACTCAGTGGGAGAGGCCAGGTGGCCAGAAGGAGAGAGCTGGGTCTGGAAGGAGCTTCATAGAGACACAGAGCCACCAAGCCTAGCCCCACCCATAGTCTTCAGAGCTGCAGTCCTGCACCGCTCAAACACCCCCACCCTGGCCATTGGTGATGTCCTTGGCAACTTCCAAGAGGCCTGGCACATCGGGGTGGGGAATAAACGCTCTGCCTGCTGGTGCTGTCCCTGCCTTGCCTCCTTCCCTCTGGTCCACAGCTGGGAAGTTGGAATTATAACTCCATTTTACAGATGGTAAAGCTGAGGACACAAAATAACTCACAGCTCATCCAGCTGAACTCCTGTCTCAGGCCAAGCTGTGTCCTGCCCAGAAGCAGATGAGTGATGGGTGGAAGCCTTAGCCAGATTGTCCCCAAGGCAGGGGGAGGAGCCTGGGCCTGATTGAATGTCTGTGTCCTCCACCTTATCAAAAACCAGCAGCTTCTCTGTGAATAAAGTCAGGGTGGGATGGGAGGGCTGCCTACCCCACCTCACGTAGGCCGAGCTTTCTTCTGCATTCAGGGAATGACATCCTGCTCCTGCCTTCTACTAAGCCCTATCCTGTGCGGTTCTGGACTGGGTCTTCAGGAGGATCTGAAAGCAGAGTTAGTGAGGGGTGCCATCTTGTGGAACCTGTGAACTCTGGACACTCAAGGACCCGGAACCCACAGCCACCAAGGAAGCTGTGTGGATGGCGGACAGAAAATCATATGGACTGAGGGTCGAGAGACTTCCCAGGAGGGGCCTGACCAAAGTCAGACAGTTATTCCTGGTGGAAGCGGGCCAGTCACCTGGCCTCCATGATGGAGAAGCTAGAAAGAGAACCGCAGGCCTCCCAATCCTTGGCAACTATGCTGGGCCAGGATGCAGGGGCAGGAAAGGCCATGAGGGAACTGAGGTGGCCTCACACACCCCACCTGGGGCTGAGGGGTCAGGGATTCTGGGGAAGAGGGTCACGAGTAGAGCTAGGCAGAAGATGCCTGCTGGCTCAGGCCCCTGGAGGCCATGGCTGCTCTGTGGCCCCAATCGCCAATTCACACCCTCTACTGGTCTTTGCTGCCCAGGGCCTGAAGCCAATGGACCACAATGGACTGGCTGACCCCTACGTCAAGCTGCATCTGCTGCCAGGAGCCAGTAAGGTGAGGGTTCCCACCCAGGCCTGCACACTGTGACTCCAGGACCTATCACAGCCCTGAATGTGTTGATGGGCTATTCTGTGACTCTCTGTGAGGGGACAGAGGGGACAGTTTCTGCCAGGTTTGCTTGGCCACGGAACCCCTGCCCCCATGATGTTTGACCCAGCAAGCAGACAGGAGCACAGAGGGAGTTAAGGCAGCATTCCAGCATGCACGGGCTGCCCACAAGGCATTCCTTAGGACAGTATGGATTCTAGCAAAAGGAACAGCCTTAACACAGGCAAGCATTGGGCATGCAGGGGCGCAGGGGAAGGAGGTGGCTCGCTTTCCCTGCAGCTGCCTGCTGCAGCTTCCAGCAAAGCCACCCCACCATCACCACCACCACAGGGGCCTGCAGGTGGGGGTCCCCTCGCATTGGCTTCCTGTAGCTGCCACAACAACTGCCACAGACTCAGTGGCCTAAAACGTTTATGATCTTACCACTCTGCAGGTTACAAGTCCGACATGGGCTTCACTGGGCTAAAAATCAAAGTGTTCCCAGGCATGGTGGTGCAGGCCTGACACCCCAGCACTCTGGGAAGCTGAGGCAGGAGAATCTCAAGGTTGAGCCCAGCCTGGGCAACTTAGGGACTTAGTGAGACCCTGTCTCAAAATAAAGGGCTGACGGGGCTGGGGAGATGGCTCAGTGGAGTAAGCGCTTCCCTGGCAAGCGCAAAGACCTGAGTTCAATCCCCGATTCTGCAAAAAAAAAAAAAAGAGAAAAAGAAAAAAAGTAAAGGGCTGAGATGGAGCTCAGTGTAAAGGCCCTGGATTTGACCTCCAGTATCACTAAACAAATAAAATTTTAAACATTAAGAGTCTCTGGAGCTGTGTTCTTGTGCAGCCCTGGGGAATGATCCATTTTTCAACTCTTTCCAACCCCTGGAAGTCTCCCAAGTTCTTTGGCTCCTGACTCCTCATGCTCAAAGCCAAGAAAGTCTCCCTGACCTTCTGCCCCACCACATCTCCCTCTGACTCTTTCCCTCCATGTCCCCGCTTCCACTTTTAAGAACCCCTGTGACCACGTGGGCCGCTCAGATCATCCAGGATTATCTCATCCTGCTTTTGTTTTGTTATTGTTTTGCTGCTAGAGATCAAACCCAGGGCTAAACAAGTACTAGACCACTGAGCTCCAACACACACACACACACACACACACACACACACACACACACATTCTCTCTCTGTCTCCCTCCCTCCCTCTCTCTCCCTGTTTCAAAGTCAGCTAATCAATAGCCTCAACCCCCTCTGTAGCCTCAGCCCACTTTGCCTTGTCAGCCCACAGGGAGCGGGCCCCAGGACATGGCCATCTCTAGGGACATACTCTTCCTCCAGCATTCACCTAGTGGTTTCCCTTTCTCCAGGCAAATAAGCTTAGGACAAAAACCCTGCGCAACACTCTGAACCCCACATGGAACGAGACCCTCACTTACTACGGGATCACAGACGAGGACATGATCCGCAAGACCCTGCGGTGCGTGAGGCCCCCCGGGCACCTGTTCGCCGCCCCACCCCGCTCACACCCTCACCGCTCATGACCCCCAGCCCACTGGACTTCGGGGCAAATCGGGGCACCCAGGGAGTCTAAAGTGTGGCTTTGCTCTTCGTCCCACAGCATCTCGGTGTGTGATGAGGACAAATTCCGCCACAATGAGTTCATTGGGGAGACGAGAGTGCCTCTGAAGAAGCTGAAACCCAACCACACCAAGACTTTCAGCATCTGCCTAGAGAAGCAGCTGCCGGTGAGTGGGCCTCGGCCGGTGGAGCCTCAGGATTTAATGAGCACCTACTCCACCCCCAGCCTGGCTGCGGAGCAGGAGACTGAACTTCCTGCCTGATGGAGGCGCAGGGCTGAGGGGGTGAGGGGAGCAGTGGGAGCCCAGGGAGAGGAGATGAGAGGAGCTGGGGGCTGCAGCTAGGAAGGATGTCAGCTTCCACCCTGAGCGCCACCGGGCCCCTAGGCTCAGGGACTGCATCTGGTGACATTCAGGGCTCAGGGAGGAGATAAGAGCAGCCCCTGTGAGAAGCCCAGTGCGGCCTGTGCGGGGAGGAAGTGGGAGGTGGGGGGGGGCGCTAGACGCTAGACGGCAGTACCAGCAGACCTGGCCTCAGGCAGAGAAAGGGCAACTGTGACATCTGGGGCCCGAGCACCCGGAGGAGGAGGAGGCGGCCATTAACTAGGAGCAGCTGGGATGTCACTCAGGAGCTCAATGGGAACGTGTCAGAGCTGCAGCCTGTGAGGTGCCCAGAGGAGACCGCGCTTAGCTCTTTCCCTGAAATTGCCATTGTTTGAAAATTATGTCAGAACAGATTTCGCCCCTGACAGGCTCCAGCAGCTGAGCCCTCCCAGGGTCCTGCTCTCTCCCTTTCTGCTTTCCTGCCCCCCTCTCTCTGTACCTTGGCCTTAAACCATTCTCAAAGGCTGAGGGGTTGCCCAGGACACTGCAGTGCTCTGGGGCCAAGAGAAATGGTTGGCCCTCAGCTGCCCAGTGTTGAGGACTCGGGGCAGTGACTCATTGTCCTCACCCTCCCAGCCAGAGCAATGGGAACGCCCAGGAGGACACAGCCCACAGCCACACCCAACCCCAGCACCCGGCCTGGTAGAGCCTGGCATCCTCAGGACCCAGATTCTTGGCTAGCTGAGCCCAAGCCAAGCCTCGCCACAAGTCAGGCTGCGGCCTGAGCTGCCTGCCAGAGCCCAGCTTTTTGCATAACTTTTTCAAATTGTGTTCTTTTGTCACATTCTCACCCACTCATAGACGTTTCTGTGATGGATATAACCTTTTCTATTTTATTATTAGTCATTAACTGCAGGTAACTTAGTTTTTTCAAATGATATAACTCATTTAGGAAGGTAGTGCTGGCTGCCATGATAGTTGTGTTCCTGAGTTCTGCTCATGAGCATAAACAAGTACGTGTGGCACTTACATGTGTGCGTGCACAGGCACATGCATGCAAGAGTGTGTGTGTGTGTGTGTGTGTGTGTGTGCGCGCGCGCGCACGCGCACATGCACCCAAGCACAGCCAGGCATGGCTGAGCTTTGCTTCAATTTGCTATAAGCTCATTGGTCAGGTGGGGCACACGGTGAGCTCCGAGAACAGTCAGTGGTAAGCGCTCCAGTGGTGAAGGCACATCTTGGTGGTACGTTCTGTGTTCATGGTCTGTGTACGTTGTTTGTGTCAAGTGCTAGCCACAACCTGCTCGGCGGTCTTCACATGAAGCACCCAAAGTGTAACCTCCTGTGCCTGAAAGTTTAGCGCCCTTTTTATCTCATCTCCTGGAGAGTGTGGATGTGGCTACGTGGGGACTCACCTTAGTGCCAGGCAGGGCGCGTGGTGGGCAAAGCCTGGGCCCACGTGAAGGAGGCGCCTGGCAGAGTCCCAGGGAGGGAACTTGGGGCTCCAGCTGGGTGTGTCAGGGGGAGCAGAGATATAGGGGAAGGGGTCCTGGGGAACAGTGGCCTAAAGAAATGCATGCTCTTAGGAGGACCAAGAGTAGACACATGTCTAGCTTTGTCCAGGGTGGGTGTTATGGCAGGAGCTGGGGTCCAACCGCTGAGGTGGGCACCAGGCACTGGGAGACTAGGAGGGAACTGGCTGGCTTCCCTGCCCAGCTCCCAGCTGACCCTAGTTAGGAAGGGGTCAAGGCCTTAGCTCTGTCTCTCCTCAGGGACCACCCTAGGCCCTGGCTTCTGGCAGACCTCCAGCAAAGGCCTGGCTGACCCTTCCGCCTTTCTCTGAGGCCTCAGGCTGGTATAGCCAGTGTGAATTAAACCCAGAAGGGACCACCTGTCCCTCTGTCCCCACCCTCAGGAACAGCATGGTGGGTGGATGCTGCTTGGGGCCAGGCCTCAGCCAGCCCTAGGGTATAACATAAAATAGATAGAATCTGTCTTCAAGGGACTTCAAGTCTAGAGGCAGACACAGGAGGAAGCAGGTAAAAGCCACACTGCATGGCAACAGGAAGAACCTGAGGCAAGGCTGTGCAGAGCAGGACAGCCAACTGCCAGGGGTCAGGGAATCCCAGGAGAAGCTGCTAGAGCCAAGCCCCATCCTGGGAACAGGAGTTCACAGATACGGAGACAGGAGGGCACTGGGAGTGGACTCAGCTTGAGAAAAGGTTTGGGGCAGGCTCCAAGCAGATCGGGCCTCAGCTGTGAAGAGGACAGAGCAAGGACCACCTGTCGCAGCGGCCAGCGCCAGGGCAGGGGCTGGCAGACCTTCTGCAAAGAGCCAGATGGCAAATCCATTCGGTTTTGCAGGCCCCACTGTCTCTGTAACAGTTCCTCACTCTGCTACTATAAAGGAAAAGGGGAAAAGAGAGGCTGAGTTCTGCTAAAACCTTATTAATGAACACTGAGGTTGAAAAAAATTCATATAATTTTTTAGTACTTGAGGGGATTGAAACAGGCCAATTACTATGTAGTTCAGACTGGCCTTGAACTCACCTTGTAGCCCAGGCTGGCCTCAAACTTTGGGCAATCCTCTTGCAGCAGCCTCTCAAGTGCAGGAATTACAGGCATGTGCCACTACACCCAGGAAACTTCATATAATTTTTATGTGTCATGAATGATCTCTTTTTTTTTTTTTTTTTTTTTTTTTTTTTTTTTGACCACTGAAGAAAGTGAAGCCCACTCATTGTGAGGCTCCACATGCATCGGGTCAAGCTGTGCAGGGCACTTCAGGCTGTGGGGCACAGGCGGGGAGGGCAGCATGGACCCTACCTGATGCAAGGTCCTCAGGAGGAAGAGACAGACAGAAAGACCCACTAAGGGCCCAGGGAGATAGCTCAGTAGAATAAGCGCTTGCCTGGCAAGTGCAGGGTCCTGAGTTCAATCCCCAGTACTGCAAAAAAAAAAATAAAGAAAGAAAGAAAGAAAGAAAGAAAGAAAGAAAGAAAGAAAAAAGAAAAGAAAAGAAAAGAAAGAAAAAGAAAGGGCCACAAGGATGAGGCTGAGACCACTCACCTGGGCCTCAGCAAGGCCCACTGTATGGTGGTGCCTGGGCAAATCGACAAAGCCAGGGGCCAGACCTTGTCTGCTGCCAGGCAGGCACAGGCGAGGACCCTGAGTGACTGCTCACCCAACAGGTGGACAAGACGGAAGACAAGTCCCTGGAGGAGCGAGGCCGCATCCTCATCTCCCTCAAGTACAGCTCACAGAAGCAGGGCCTGCTGGTGGGCATCGTGCGGTGCGCACACCTGGCTGCCATGGATGCCAACGGCTACTCAGACCCCTATGTGAAAACGTGAGTGTGCAGCTCAGGCCCACTGCCTGCTTCCCCTGCTCACCTGCGACATCGTATCTGGCACTGTGCCCAAGCACGGCCAGCACTGGAGGGACACCTGATGGGCAGGGACACCATGTTCATAGGGACCTGTTTTCTTAAGGGTTTCTTGGGCAATTTGAGGGGTTACTTGTGGCCAGCGCATTTTACAGATGGGGAAACTGAGGCCCAGAGAGGCCGAGTGGCTTGTGAGGTCACACAGAGAATAGCTATCTCCTAGTGCCACAGACAGGCCTCTCTGTGACGGTGGACCTCAGTGTCATGCGCAAGTTGAAGGAGAGGGCATGAGGTCGGGCCATGGGTCGCAAGGAAGCTGGGAGACCTGGCAGAGGAAACTGCCAGGATTGCCTGAGGGCACCAGCCCTGTGCACACAAGTACAGCTACAGGTCTACCCAGGTCCCCCACTGATGACAGCACAAAGGAGAGACACTACCTGGGAGCCAGCCCAGTGACCTGGGCGGAAGAGCCATAGAGGCTGTGCTCTGGACGCAGGGGGGCAGGTGGGACCTAGCGGCCACAGGAGAGGGGCAGCATGGGCACCACAGTGACCATCTTCACTGCCTGGGTCTTTGCACAAATGGGCTGGATGGGTCCCCACCCAGAGGTGTCCCCTGATACAAGGACTTGCAGAGGGACTCAGCTCATAGAAAGGAGGGGAAGGGGCTGTGGGCATGGAGGAGCTAAGGTAGGATTTGGAGTGGGCTTGGCTGAGGTGACCCGAAAGAGGTCCAGGGCAGGGAGTCTGGGGACATCATGGTCCCATGGGGAGACCAATACTCCTCATGGCACAACTCGTGCACTGTGTCCAATGGCCCCTGTCATTTTTTGGTCATTTTTTTTTAATCCTTTTATTTTTGGAACAGGATCTCCCTGTACAGTTCAGGCTGGCCTTGAGCTCACTTTGCAGCCCAGGCTGACCTCAAACTCACAGTGATCCTCCTGCCTCAGCCTCCCAAATGCAAGGATTATAGGCATGTGCCACCACACCCAGCTCTTTTGGTCACTTTTTAAATCATATGTAAGGATTGTTGTAGCCTTTTGGAGATCAACTGGTAGTTATCAAAAAGTGAAACACAAGCCAGGAGTGGAGACACACGCGTGTAATCCCAACTGTTTAGGAGGCTGAGGCACAAGGACTAAAAGTTCAAAACACCCTGGCCAACTTGGTAAGATCTGTCTGAAAATAAAATAAATAGGAAGGGCTGGGTAGGGTGCATGCCTAGCATGCGTAGACCTTGGGTTCAGTCCCCAGTACTGGCTTGGGGGGAGGTAATTTAACAGTTACCACATGATCCAATAATCCCGCTCTTAGATTTGTACCAGAGGAAACTGAAAATGCACATCCACAAAAAAGTGTATGCCTAAATGTTTGTAGCAGCATTATTCATAGTTGCTAAAAGTGGAAAGATCGCAAACTCCCTCCACTGATGAATGGAGAAACAAACTGTGGGTTTATCCATACCATGGAATATGACTCAGCCACTGACAGGCAGGAAGTACAAGTCGAATATCCCCAATCCAAATGCCAGAAACCCCAAATGCCTCAAAATCTGACACTTTTGCATCCCAACATGAAGCTGCAGGTAGAAAAGGTCACACCTGATCTCGTGACAGGTCCCGGTCACATGCAGGTGAAATAAAAATGTGGTATAAAATTACACCAGGGCGGTGGTGTGTGCCTGTAATCCCAGGCAGTTTTTGTAAGACTGGAGAGAAAGTTTGCAATCTCTAGGAAAGTTGGAAACAGTGTGCAACATTGTCTTCCTTCCAGGTTTGTATCCTAGAAACTCACGAACAGGTGGGAAGCTGTTTATGCCAGCGTGGCTTGTAATAGCAATAAACTGGAAACTCCAAATGTTCATCAGCGGGATAGATTAATAAAAGGTGGCATATGCAGACAGTGGTATGTTATGTGGTTAAGTGAATAAATTAGAGCTAGATGCATTAACGCGGACAGTTTTGCAAAGCATGCAAGCCCCACAGCAATCTGCGCCTTACCGTTGCATAGATGGCCCTCTGCATCTGCCAGCACTGGCAACTGCGGGCAGGCAATCCTGTTTACAGGCGGGAATTGTATCTATATGGAACAAATGATACAGTGTACCAACTATCAAATTATACAGTGTAACAACTGTGGACATAGTAGCACTGATACTGTGTTGGGTATTAGGGGTCCTTTAGAGGTGACTTAAAGTACAGTGTCCAGGAGGATTGTCTGGGCAACTGTGGACACTGGGCCATCTTATATGTGGAACTCGAGCATCCTGGGGTTTAGGTATCTGCGCTAGCCTGGAGCCACGTCCTGCAGACATTGAGGGGCCATTGCATTTCTTTCCCATACAGAGTGTCCTTGAGTAGGGGGCATGGCGCAGGACCCCAGGGGCCAGCAATAAGCCTCACCTTCCCCAGTGTTGCTAGATTTCCCTCCAGACAGAAATACAAGCTGAGGCCAGAATGTGGTCAACAGCTTGCATCCTGTTCAGTGCTCGCGTGCCAGGTGGACAGAAATTCCAGGTCATTCACCAAGTCACCCAGAGAGCAGGTCTCACCTGTCCTGGCTTCCTCAGGCAAGCAAGGCTTTGTTCCAGGCTAGGCCCACGGACGGCTGGTGGGGAAGGAGCTGCCGGAGCCCTGCAGCCGCTTCTCCTACACCCCCGCCCCCTCCGCTGCCATCGCCTTTCAGCGGTGGGCAGATCCAGGCACAGGCTCATCACAGTCAAACCTCACCTGAGAGCTCAGACTCGGGAAGACATTCTGGCCAAGATGGGGTCTGCTGCTCAGGGCTCCTTGGCTTCCTGTCTCTGAAAGGCCACCTCATGGACTCGGGGCCTCTACTTTTCTTAAAGCAGAAAAATGAGGCCATAGGTGCCCCTTAGCTCTCTCCTTGACTGGGCCCTGTGGCCCCAGAAGAGAGCAAGAGGGGAGCTGGGGGCAGAGCCAAGGAGTGAGCCTTGGTGGTCAAGGCTTTTGTGTGCATGGCAATTTTTATAAACCTCATCCCTGGCGACAGCTGCCTCAGTAGGTGCTGGTTGAGTTCTTACTGCGCTCCAGGGCTGTCACGCTCTAGCCCATCAGTCACTTCTGCTGTCAACCTCTGTAGCATGAGCTCGCTTCAGCACCACATATGCTAAAAACACACACACACACACACACACACACACACACACACACCTCTGTTGTATACCAGGGGAAACTGAGGAAACTAGAAAAAACTTGTTGTGCCTCCTCACTCCTGCTCTGGTCCTTGCACCTGTAACGTGGAGGTTCTAGGAGCCTTTGGCCAGCAGAAGTCACTGTGTGGAGGACCTCATGTGGCACTGCTGTATGGCCAGAGCAGGAGGGTCCTGACAGCCCCGCGACTGGCCACCAAGGGATCCCAGAGCTGTGGCGTGAGGAGGGAACAGCACTGCGGCAGAGGAAAGGACAGAGGCCTGGGGATGGTCCTGCAGAGCACTACACATGGCTGAGCCTTGTACTAGTGTCTCTCTGGCAGCCTGGTGTCTCAGCGAGGCATTGCCGGACAGTGTTGCTTTCTTCTAGATTTTCATACAAAGATAGTGGACGGTGGGCTGTCTTTTGATCTGGCTTCCTCAGCAAAGCAGACTCTGCAGCCGTCGCGCACTCTCTACTGTTTCTATAAGAAGCCAGTATTATTCGTGTAATAAAAGTCACAATTCTGAAATGCAAAGTAAAAGAACAATGAGATTCCAGCGAAGGCATTAAAGTACTCGGTCTAGCCAGGTGTGGTGGCACATGCCTGCAATCCCAGCACGCGGGAGGCTGAGGCAGGAGGATCGCTGTGAGTTCAAGGCCGGTTTGAACTGCATAGTAAGAAAGACCCTGTCTCAAAAAGACAAAAAAATTAAAATAATAAAGTGCTAGTTCTTTGGCAGGGGCCCAGTTGCCACACAGCCGTCCTGGAGGGCAGTTTTGCAAATGAAACAAGACCCCAGCACTCCTGTGCTGCCTTTCCACTGCTGGAAGCGGGCACTCAGCTGAGCGACCCGCACAGTGCCAGCCTGTGAGCTGGGCAGCAGGAAGCTGGTGATAGTGAGGCCATTGCAGTTCTGGCATCCAGCAGGGGGAGGCGCTCATCACACTCCTCTCACGCAAGGACAGGGCTGGAGGTTCTGCAAAAGGGAGCTTGGGGCTTGTGTCAGTCAGCTTCCCCATCGCTGCCCACCATGCCTATGCTCACAACAAAGGGGCATTGCATTCAGAGGATTCAGCCGCGGCAGGCCCACTCCAGCAGATGTGATAGAAGGATATGGGGAAGAGGAGCTGCTCCCCACAAGACAGTGGTGAAAAGCTGGGCCTGGTGGTATAGGCCTGTAATCCCAGCACCCAGGAGGCTAAGGCAGGAGGATTGCTGCGAGTTCAAGACCAGCCTGAGCTACATAGTGAGCTGAAGGCCACCCTGAACTGCATAGCAAGACCCTGTCTGAAAAATGGAAAAAAAAAAAAAATCCAGCGGGGAAACAGAGAGAAAAGATAAGAGATAAGAGAGGAGTCGGGGACAAGAACATGCCCGTCCCGGTCAGGGATCTGGGGGCCACCTCCAGCCAGCCCTGCCTCCCAGCAGCTCACCTAGCTCTGCACTGCACCTGAATGAATCCGCTGAGTCGCCCACGCTGACCCAGCACCCTGCAGATCCCGCCTCGGAGCACCTGAGCCTGGCTGCTGTTCCCCGACTGACTCCCTTGGACACGGGGAGCCTTGGGTGCCTGGGGCGGGAGGCTGGCTGGCTGGTGCCTCCTCTCTAGGGGACCCCTGCCTGTGTGCCTGAAGGCTTTTCCCTTCCTCGGAGCTCTGAGGAAGGCCTGATGGCTGCACAGCTCTGGAGAGGTGCTGAAGAAACACAGACTTTACAGGTTAGATAGATGGATTAGATGGTATGTGAATTATATAATCAATAAATTGGCTATTTAAAAAAAAAACTTTTAGACTGGGCATGGTGCCACATGCCTGTAATTCCACCTCTTGGGAGGCTGTAAACAGGCAGATCACTATAAATCCAATCTAGTAGTGACTCTGAACATCCTGTAGACCCTTCCCTAAAATACAAACAAAAAAAAAAATTTTTTTTTTGGAGCAAGGAACCAACTCTGTTAAAAATGTCTTTCTGGTGGGAAATACAAGTTTTACAAAAATTAGACTTCCAGGGCTGGGGAGATAGCTCAGTAGAATAAGCACTTGCCTGGCAAGCATAGGGTCCTCAATCCCTGGTACCACAAAAAAAAAAAAAAAAAAAAAAAAAGAAAGAAAGAAAGAAAGAAAGAAAGAAAGAAAGAAAGAAAGAAAGAAAGAGAAAAAAGAAATTAGACTTCCAACCAGGCATCATGGTACATCTCTGTAATTCCAGCACTCAGAAGGCTGAGACAGGAGGATTGCTGCAAGTTTGAGACCAAAAAGAAAAAAAAAAGTTTGAGACCAGTCTAGGAGCCACAAAGTGAGCTCAAAGCTAGCCTGAACTGCATAGTGAGACCCTGTCTCAAGAACAAAAAAGAAATTAGACTTCTAGAAGCAAAGAACTTGCTCTCCCGGGGGACGTCAGACGGCAGTTGACGAGAGCCATTCACATTGCCTGCTGCCATGGTGGACTCACCTTTGCCCACAGGGCTGTGCCAGGAACCCTGCAATTAGAAAAAGCAGGCTGGAAACAATCTCTGCAGAGACAAAGCTCTGCTGCACCCCGCTGGCTGTGTCTGCACCCCAAGGTTCCTCCTCATCCCCTTCCTGTTCCTTGGTTGTGATTCTAGGTACCTGAAGCCAGATGTGGACAAGAAATCCAAACATAAGACAGCAGTGAAGAAGAAAACCCTGAATCCAGAGTTCAATGAGGTATGAGGGGTTGCCAGGGCTTTGGGATGGGCACTGGGTCTTCCCCTGGGTGGAGGGCCTGGAGAAACCAGGTTTCCCAAGGGTCACTGTGGAAGCTGGAGGTGGAAAAGATGGAGATGAGCTGCCAACACCCCCCAGCCACGGGGAAGACCGAAACTGTGCAGGGCCACACCTGGCTACAATGCTGTAGGTGGGGGTCTGGGGAAGCTCCTCGGGGATCCAAGTGGGATTGTGGTCGTGGCAGATGGCAGGGTAGAAAGGGAAGTTTAAGGGACTTCTGTGTTCTTTGAGTGATGACAGGTTGGGAATGGGACTGTGAAGAGGAGAAGCTCTGGGTGCAGCCTGAGGATTCATGATGCCCCAGGGCCTCAGAGAGGGCTGCGATCAGGTGGATATCAGGGTGCTCGGCCCAGGTGGGTTGCAGCCAGAGACACAGATCTAGGGGTCCTGCATGGAGCAGGGGTGGTGGGTGAGCAGAGGGCCTTTGAGCATAGCCTAAGCCTTACCAGGCATCCCAAAGGCAGCCGAGGGAGAGGCTATGTCTCAGAAGCTGGCAGGAGAGGGGTACACACACACACACACACACACACACACACACACATAAAAGGAAGCCATCAGGTTGTGGTGGTGTAAACCTGGAATCCTACACTCTGGGAAGCTGAGGTGGGAGGATCTTGAGTTTGAGCCCAGCCTGGGCAGTTTAGCAAGAACTTGTCTCAAAATAAAAGAGATCTAGTATTTGACAAAGACCCTAGTACCACCTCACCCCTCCTCCCCCAAAAAGATGAGGTCAGCAAAGCCAGCCCAGCAATCAAGGATAAAGGGCTCACTTTTGTGCAGTGAGTCAGGAAGGGGACACACGCACCAGCAGGTGAAGCTCACAGTGTCAAAGGTGGAAGGTCAGGTGGACTGAGGCATGGGGCCCCAACTTGGATCCTGAGGGAAGAGCTGAGAAGCCACCCACCCTCACCCTCATCGTCCAGCCCTCCATCCAGCCTCGTAGGCCCCTGCTGGCCACGTGACCTTGACCCTAATAACCCTCCCCCTTTCTGGCCAGCAGGAGTTCTGCTATGAGATTAAGCATGGGGACTTGGCGAAGAAGACCCTGGAGGTCACAGTTTGGGATTATGACATTGGGAAATCCAACGATTTCATTGGTAAGAGGGCCCACAGGGGGACTTGGTGTCCCTGTGCCTGGGTGTAGCTGACAGTGCTGGCCCTGGCTCAGGCACAGCCGCCCTCCCTGCTGGTCTCTGAGGAAATGGACAGAGGCTCAGACATTATACAGCCTGCCCCTCTGTAACAGTAGTTGGCCCAGAGAGTGACAGCGCCATGCAAAATTCTGCTAGGAAGCTGAGATAGTGGCACTGGTGGCCAGTACCCTAGCTGGACTCAGCCCATGTGGCCCTGAGTTCCTGGGGGGTACAATAGCTGCCAACAGTGGGGCTGCCCTGCCCCCACCTGTCCCAGTCCCTGTTTCTCAGCCCTAATTCATGCCACTGCATCTGCCTAGCACTGCCCTGACCCCAGGCCGGGGGGGGGGGGCAGGAGCTGTGATGGGGGCCAGCTAATGTCCTCAGTGCAGCCTGGTAGGCAGCGGGAGAGGCTGGGGTCGTAGCAAAGAATCTGAGAGGCACCTCGGTCTCTGAATCCCTGCTGTCGCTCCTGCAGGTGGCGTGGTTCTGGGCATCAATGCCAAGGGCGAGCGCCTGAAGCACTGGTTTGACTGCCTGAAGAACAAGGACAAGCGCATTGAGCGCTGGCACACGCTCACCAACGAGCTCCCAGGGGCCGTGCTCAGTGACTGACTGCCCGCCTGCCGCCGCTGCCCCTGCCCCCGGCCCGCACAGGCCTGGCCCTGGGCTTCCTTGGCTGTCACCAAGGGCTGTGGCCCCGTGTTGGGCATGATCCAAGATGCCTGCTTGGCTACAGAGCCACTGCAGTCCCCGCTTGGTGGACACAGTACCCAGGCTACCTGAGAGACAAGGGAGGGCAGAGAGCCCGGCCTGCTGTCCGCCTCCCTGGGCATAGTGGGCAAGCGGTGGGAGGAGGCCTTGGCCATGGAGCAGCAAGGACCTTCTAGAGGGTGTAGAGTGCAGACAGGCGGGGGGGTTCGGGTTGGCGCCAAAGAGAACAGAGGAGGAGACTGTGGGCAGGCAGAGGACGGGCCTTGGACAAAGTAGCCCAAAGAGCTTCCGACCACGTCCGTTTCTCTCTGGCATGGCCGGGCAGGTGGAAAGAGGCCGAGAGCCAAGTGTGCAGTTCCTGGGGGCCCCTGCCAGCGGGTGACATGGGCCTGCCCTTGACTTCTCGCTCAGGAACTGGATGTAAACCAAGGCTGAGGAAGAACAAACCTTGGGGCTGCTGTGATGGACAGACAGGGAAGGCTTCCGGGAGGAGGTGGTACCTCTGTATGGCCTTAAAGGGTGAAGGGTTTCTAGGCAGAGTTGGAAGAACAGTCCAGGTGGTGAGAGTGTACTGCAGAGGCCTGGGACAGGGGAGAGGAAAGCCAGGCGCCAGGAGGGTTTATTAGGCAGGGCTGGCCTTGTGCCAGGTGAGGAAGTTGATGGTAGCGCAGGGTCAGGTTCAGCCCTCAGACCTGCCCCTGGTTCTGCTCAGCCTGAGTGTCCGTCAGCTGCATAGGGGAGAGAAAAGGGCACCTCTGGCACAAGAAGAAGCAAACCTTACTCCTCAAGCACCCCCTTCCCTTCCCCAGCTCCTTTGGGTTCAAGCAGGGTATTCGGGGGCCCTTGAGGTTACCCTCGGCCTCCTGCCCTTCTTGTGGTGCGATCCAATGTCCCTTTCAGGAGTACTTGGTACCAGTCCAGGGCCTGGTTTCTGGGAAAGCCAGGAGCTGAGAGGTCCTGCCTGTCTTTCTCTCTAGGAAGTTGCTAAGAGCATCTCAGCTTGGGGGTTCAGGCGTGAATGGGCTTTCTGGAGCTGTGGATGAACAAATACAGAACCGAGGTGCTTCACAGCCACTGCACGACCCCACCATACGCAGTCCATTGGGGCTGAGGGGAAGGAGCTTCCCGTGGTGGCCTTGCAACCCCAGCACAGCCGGGGCGTGTCAGAGCGCTGGACACCACACTTCAGATCATCTGGGCACTAGGCCCATGCCCTGGGAGTCCCGCTGTCAGCTCCCAGGCATGAGGGTCGAACCCTGGGCTGCGAGTACAGAGCACATCCTCCAAGGCCAGAGGAGATAGTTCAAATCCCCAGCATCCTTTCCCAGTCGGCTGCACAGGACTGCGGCCCCCTGCAGTACCCAGCCACACTTACTGCTCACAGAAACTTGGCTCCCCACGTCTGCACAGGAAGGCTTTGCCTGTGGCTGGAGCTTGCCAGGCACCGTCTTCCAGCATCATCACCACCCTGTGAGGAGAGTAACACCATCCCTCATGAGGCTCAGAGAGACACAGTATGCCGAGTAACACAGCTGGGTAGGGGGTGAACCAGGATTCAGACACAGCCCCTTTGCTTGTCTGGGCATCAGGACTAACCCGGTCCTTTCCCCTTGAGAGTGAAGGTCTCAGGAAGGACCAGCACACGGCGCAGCAGGGGAGATCTTGTTCTTGTCCCATCTGTTTGGCTTCTTCACTGGTTTTGAAGCTATCCATGCTCCTCTGGGGTTTTCTGGAAGCCTACAGCCTGCACCCATCCTGGCTTCCATACCCAGGGTCAGGGAGGCTGCGGCTGGGGCTCCAGCTGGAATGGGAAACCACAAGGGCCGAGGTGAGAGATGACCTACTTTTTAGGGGCCATGAGACTGGGTGAGCCACGGGGACCCTCTCAGCTTTGCCTTGTCGAGTGCTTCGTTCCCACAGGGACCTCGCAGCCTGTGAAGATGTGAAAATGCCACATGGCACAGCTAGAAGGGCAGGGGGACCCCGCTAGTGTGACGTCCTTGTTAGACCCTAGGAGAAGCAGGCCTGTGAGGGGAAAGGGCCCGCTGGGACAAGGAACCAGGATTCCTGGTAGCGGTGGAGGAACCTACTGCTCCCGGCAGGGTTCCAGCCAGCTAGTGCTAGGGCGAGAAGGGGCGCCCGCCCTGACCTCAATGGCAGTCCCCCGGGTCCTGGGGTACACACTACATCTCTGTTAAAGAAAAAACACTTTGAGAAGCTGCCTTTGACCCCAAACAGTCATCTTTCTTCTGGTCCATCAGCCCTACAAAGACATAAAATCTGATGCCAAAAGAAAAAAAAAAAAAAAAATCCAAAGTCGGGTGTCAGCAACCAGGGCTCCCCGGTGCGCCGCAGCCCCACCCGGCGCCCAGGTCTCCGCCCCGCCCACCGCCACCACTAGCCAATCCCAACCGGCCCGTCTTCCAACCCCGAGGCGGTAACTTCCTGACCTCTAGTGGCGAGAGCGAGGAACTGCACCTCTACGGCCCGCCCGCCGAGCCCGGGCTGTGCATGTCCTGCCCTTTGTTGCTTTTCAAACCGAGTGAACCTCCCGATGCATGGACTCTGGCTGTCGTCGACGCAGACTCGTGCACTGCTTAACACCGTTTTGCTACCATGTGACGGCTGCAGAAATCGTCCTCAAACTGCAGCCCCACGACAATTTTTGTACTTTGTCTGACTGCCTACAGGTGTCCTTTATAAGTCTTCTTTGTTAATATTTATAATGACATATAACCCAAAGTCAATGGAAACGTCCTACTGCGCTCATGTCAGCTTGGAGACTCATTTAACAGAATAGAAGGTTGAGTGGAATGAAAGGGGGAGGCACCTGGGCCCTTGCCAAGGGACGATGTGAGGCAGGCACCCAAGTTACAGGTAGGGAAACTGAGGCTCGGCACAACTCACAGCTGGTCACTGACAACCAGAATCGAAACCCAGGCCCCTCAAGACCGCACGCAGGACGAGTGTGCCATGCTGTGAGCCTCTCATTCCACAAAGGACTGCAGAGTGTTAACATCCCAGGTACCTGGCAGTGTCATCAGTGAGATCACCCACAAACAAATACAATAATGACATGTGAGAAAGTGACAGGAAAAAATACGAGTACATGGGAGTCGGAGGGGAGGACAGGCTGTGCAGACGAGAGGTCCTGTGCCCCCAGGAAGGCGAGCAGCCAGGGCCCAGGAGGCCATCCGTGTGCCAGGACGACGGTGAAAGGGACCCTGTTGCACAGGGCTTTGTGAGGACAGGCTTTGCTCTGTGCGAGAGAGGAGCCGCTTCACTTCTAAGGGACCGACTGCCTGGCAGGGATCACCCCCATACTCTGGGGAAGAGGCCCCTCTGGAGGCTCAGTATCAGCAGCAGTGGCAGCTGCATCCTGACCAGACCCTCATGTCACCTGACAGGTCAAGGTTCTGGCTGCCAGTGTCCCTTCACCAGTGCCTGTGTGCTGCCCACTTGCCCAGCCTGCCACCCTGTCCCATCTGCATGTGCCCTTTCTGCCGGCGTTAGCCAGAGTGCGGCCTGGTTATGTGTCGAGAAGCCCTGCCCAGGGCTCTGAAGCCGGCGGGACCTGCAGGGCTCCATGCCATTGCCGCTTAGGGAGCCAGGCCAGCAGCCGCAGCCTGTACCTCCATAGGACTCTGCTCGGCCTTTATGGCATTTATCACCCAGTAACTGCGCATGTTGTTGGGGTTTTTTGTTTGTTTTGTTTTGTTTGAGGGGATGCTAGGGGTTAAACCCAGGGCTTTTACACTGGGCTACATACTTAGCCTTATTTATTTAGTTTTGGTGCTTGAAATCTAACTCAGGACTTTATACTTGCCAGACAGGTACTTGTCCTACTGAGCTATATCCCCACCCAATTTATTTATTCACTGAGTCAAAGTCTCACTAAGTGGCCCAGGTAAACTGGAACTTGCCGCCCTCCTGTCTCAACCATTCTGTGTTGGGTTACAGTCATGCACCAACACCCCCAGCTTTATTCTCTTCTGTCCCCACTCTTAAGTCTTATTTATCTCGGCAACCGCTAGGCCTAAACCCAGGCTGAGCACACAGCAGACCTGCCTTCAGTAAGCGTTTCTTGAGCAAATGGATAAGAGCTGTCCATTTCAGGGCACGGTGGCACACGACGATAATCCCGGCACTCAGGAGGGGCGGAGGCAGGGGATCGCCGTGAATTCGAGGCCAGCCTGGGATACAGAAGTGCAGTCAAGGCCAGTCTGCATTGCATATTGAGACTCTGTCTCAAAAAAAAAGAACAAGGAAATCCCTGCCAGCTTGTAAGTTGCTTAAAAGGAATCAAACCTGTGTCTGGGGTGCCTGTCCTGATGAGAGGCAAGGAAGGAGAAAAGTGAAAGGAGGGAAGCAAGGGGAGGGCAGCAGTGGGACCCGGAAGAGCCAGGAGTGTTGTCGGGTGGGGTGGGGAGCAGCAGCAGTGTTTTCCAGGTTGTTCTTTGCCCCAATCAATGGACAATTGGTGGATGTGAAAGATGACTCTATTTTAGGGCAGAAATAAAAGGAGAAGCAGCATGAAAGAAGTACTCAGGGAGGAGAAGTGTGCTTTGAAGAAAAGAAGATGCATCCTAGAAAGAGAATGGGCCACCGCAGGGAGAAGAGGGTGGGGTCACCCGCTGCCATTCTTGGGTGCTTTCTTTGATAGTTGATGCAGGTGGTACCTGAGATCTCATGCAAGGCGAGTGGGACCAGGCGGGAAGGTGGGTGTGGCACAGGCTCGGCTCTGTCTGTCTCCTACCTGGCGGGTGGGACGCAATCACTCAGCCTCCAGCGCAGGACCCCAGTCCGCCAGCCGCTCCGCAGAGCTCAGGAGATACCGAGGCCAGGAGGAGCAAATCGGGCTCTGCGACTGGCAGCTCTAGGGACAGGCGCAGACTGTCAGGAGAGCCCATGTTGTGAGAAGCGCCCTGGTCTGAGGGTTTGTGGGACATGAACAGGTGCCATGCCAGGCTTTCTGGGACTCCTACATGGGTCACCTCCCCACAGAAAAATGGAACAGGCTGGAGAAGAGCGGGACTGACTGGTGGCACCGAGAACAGCGGGACTTGAGCCCCAACCAGGGTACTGGAGTCCCTCGGCGTCACTTGCTCCGAGGACACCCTGGTGTGGTCCCCAGCCTCCATACACCGCGCTCCCAGAGTGGGCACTGGAAAGGCCACAGCTGCACAGCCAACCCAGCCTGCAGGCAGGGAGGGAGCTGTGGGGTCCCAGCTCCTGGAAGGAGGACACAGAGCAAGCAGAATTACACACCACGCTGCCTACAGAGCTTGCAGTTAAAAGGTGTTTCCATCCCCATTTTATGGACAGGGAGCCTGGAGGACAGGGTAGCTGGCCCAAACATGCTAGAGACGGTCTGGGCTTTACCTCTGAAAGCAGCAGCGGGGTCATGGGGCTCTAGGGGACCCCAGGTCCCATAGCCCCCTTCTTCCAGGCTCAGCTCCACTCTTCAGGCCAGCCCCCAGGCTACTTTCAAACTCGCAGAAATCCTCCTGTCTCAACCTCCCAAGTGCTGGGATTACAAGCATGAACCAGGTCCGGTACCAGGGCTGCACGGTGGGTGCCTGCATCCAGGGCAGAGACTGCAAGGCATGTGGGACCAGGAATCGAACTTGGGTCCTTGTGCTTGCCAGGCAGGTGTTTATGCCTCTGAGCCATCTCTCTGGCCCTGTAGGGCTTCCTTAAGCAACATTTTATGTTTTCTGGGGAGGTCTTCACTTCTCTTTTGTCTGGTGGGTAGCCTTGCTGAGTGAATAGTCTTGGTTGGCAGTTATTTTCTTTCCGGTCTTGGAATTCATCTTTTGGTGAAGTCATGGTTTCCACCACTGAGCAAATTACAGTGTTGTCTTCCTCCGAACCTCAAAGCTCTCTCAGACACCCTCCCACCAAAGTCTTGGTTCTCGAGCCAACATCTCACCAGTGGGTTCCTTACTCCAGTAATGAGGGCTTTCGTGCTGATTGTCAGTGATGGGCAAATCCCTGCTCAGAGGTCAAAGGCCACTGAGAAGTAAGGTCAGCCTGTGGGCATAGATTTCCTGGCCTTTTGCAGATGACCAATTTTTTGTTCCTGGACTTCTCACTCTCCATCAGATTCTGTTATGGGGGCCGGGGAGATGGCTCAGTGGAATAAGCACTTCCCCAGCAAGCGCAAGGGCCTGAGTTCAATCCTCGGTTCCGCAAAAAAAAAAAAAAAATCTGTTATGACTTTCTTAACATGGAAAAAAGCCATGTCACCCCTTCCTTTGGGAGAGGAATATATTCATAAACCATCAGATACTGTTTCTTCATCTCCTGTTCTTTTATTTTTATTTTATTTATTTTTGGTACCAGGGATCAAACTCAGGACCTTGTGCCTATCAGGCAGTTGATTAAGCCGCTGAGCTACCTTTTTAGCCCTTCTTATTCGTTGTTTTTTCTTTTCATATTTGTCTTTAAAAGATGCAGTCCAGGGGCTGGAGAGATGGCTCAGTGGTCTAAAGCACCTACTTGGAACAAGCTT